TGAAGCTCAGACTCTGGCACTGGATCGGGAACGTTGAATGCTCTGTCTGACACGTCTGACCGACGAAAGCAAGAACGCATTTGGGAAGGACACGAAAACGGAAAAATCAGAAATGCTGTTGGACAAGAATTATCCAGATGAAGAGCAGATATCATGACATAGACGTGGACGTGCAAATCTTTCAGCACCGTGCAACAAACTAAAGATGCATTTGTGACTGATCTCATTTTCCTCTGATCTGTGCGCCGCAGTGAGAAGAAATCACAATTGCATTTTATACACATAGAAGTCACATCTGCTGCGTCACATTTTCATGCGGTTAATGGAAAGCTATAGCTTGTGCAGCAGATCCAAAGCAGACTGGCAGATCGAGGGAACCTAGAATGAATTGCTATGTGACATGTATAATGTTGCGTTCAACAAAGCTCCTGAACTGTCATTGAGCTTCCTTGAGTTAACCATGCAGTAGTGACCAAGTACTCCATCAATATATCTTAACTTCTCTGAGGTTCGCAGTTTACCGTCGAATGTGCGAAGGATGGTTGTTCTATGAGCCGGGAAGACACGGTGCTCACAGTTACTGTAATGATCCGCATTACCTACAACACAGCTACATTCCTGCTTTGTCGACGTCCGTAGAATCCCTCTGCAAAATCGAGGCAAAATTTTCTGTCACCAGAAAGCAGAATGGCTCTATGTGGCGTGTATGAATGTGGCGCATGCACCGCAAGTAGTGTAAAAGATTCTCTTTGAGAGGTGGATCGGCGATTTCGTTTTTGTCATCATTTTTTACAAGTGTACCTTGAAGGTGAGAGCTCGGTTTAGAGTAATACCGATACCTATGGATGCTGTTCATGCGTTAGCTGCTACTCCGAATGTTACATTAAGAAGCTTCATCGTATCTGCGCTGCCAAAATAAACGTGGCTAATTTTAACGGGATTTGGACCAGCTTATATTTTGAAAACATTTTCGACGATGGTGAGGTGAAAACTCCATTTTTCTTCGATCTCTTTGATAATTCGTGCTATTGCTTAGAGTGGAAGGTCGAGAGCGTCGAGAATTTTCACCATGTCATGTCAACCGGTCGCTTATGTACTGAAACAGCGGAATCGGGTACCGAAATCTATCCTTTGATAACCAGATATAAAGACCTCAAGGGTGTTGCCCTGGTCTGTGATATTCGCACTTTTCTATTATCGCGAATCATTTTGAGGAAATGTAGAGTAAGCTTCGCTGACATGATATAACCCTAGCTAATTTTTATATCATGTCATGTCTTCACACAACTTTGCAATGGTCAGTCCAATGGTGTTTGCGTATGCAAAATTCCTTTCAGGATTTCATAAAGTTATTTAGATGGTCCTACCGATTGCCCCAGTTGATAAATGCTGATTATAGTGACGATTACAACGAATGGCACTGTGACATTCCCGTTTCAAACATTTTACTCTACAGTCTACAGAAAATTATCGATGCTCAAGGACATCGCCTTATGATCGCCCTCATCGTTTCTTAATTTCTTAATTGTACAAGAAAGCGCAATGACGTTTTGAAACAGAATAATTTACAACAGAGTTTAATTATTAATGAGCAATAAAATAATTTTCCTAGACCAGCAACCTGCTGTAGTGATGAGAACGAAAATTATGCTTCATTTTTAGTTCAACGCGTCGAGTGCAAGATATATGGCAATGGTCGTAGAGTATACAAATCAAGTTTCAGCTATATTTTCTTTCATCGTCGAAATTACAGCTCTGCGCCGTTGTGGCCCCCGATGCCGGTCGTGCATCTTCACACGTGAAAATATATGCACGTAGGTCAACTAGCCAACATCGACATAAGGCGCATGCTGTACACACGTAACTGACGCTTTGGCAGTAATATCGGTTATAGCGGGACCGTCAAAGGAGCGTGGGTCATAGTTCTTCGCATTCAAGGTAAGACGCTAACAAATTGCGATAGAAGTTCGAGCCAACGAATCGCGGATAAGAGTCCCTCTGCATCAGGGTATAAATTTGACCCTGTGCCTCGTCGAACATGTGTGCGTTCGGACGAACCATGTTGCTGTTGACGATTTCGCGAACTCGTGAATCAAGGCTCACCTAAAAGCAGTCAATAAGTATAAATATGAGCACAGGAATTTCTCTGAAGCTCACGAGAAGCATTAAAAGTGCATTCACTTTCAAATACATTTTCGACCGTTACAGCTAAAAGAATGGCAATGCCAGATGCAGCCATACACCTTGCCACCGATGGGAACAAAGAAAAAATACAGTATGCAAACAGTGAGGCTGAGGCAAGCAGTTTATAGAAGAGTACGGTCAAATAAAACGGGTTCCCCTCGTTTGTCCTGCCCTAACTTAATTTTCACTCCGCGAGATCACTCGGTAAGGCCAAAGTTTCTGGTTGTCTTAGTTTTCCACTTCCTGAAATTTATGGCTCTATTTGTAGTGATACGGAACATACCGTTCAGTGACACGGAAAACACTTAAATATTATGCGATTTCTGAGCACATCATTTCCATTTAAAAATAACATCGTTTCCATACAGTAATCATGTCTGCTGTAAAAGCTGACGGAGATGTGGCGTCATCTTTGCTGTTCAACGTTGTTGTCGATTTTCTTCTCAAAACGGTGATGACGTGGCAAGATCGAAGTCTCATTCTAGAGATAAGGCGCGGTTCAAGATATCCGGCCATATATGCCGCTGGCCTATAGTTCGCAGAAAATATTTTCTGAATCAGTAATACGGAGAGCAACCTCTGTCACCGGGCTGCTTCCGCATGCAACAGCGGTGATATGCTACCTTTTCCTTGACGTCCAGAAGTCAAGCGTCTGATGTACTAGTGGACAGAGAGGAAAGGCAGTTGCGATATATCTCAGCTCTATTACTTCCAACGATGTCTCCATTCGATCAGAGGTCAATAGGAGGCTCGTCTTCACCTCCAGTGGTCTTGTTAACCTGTGAAATAATTGGATAGAGAAAAGAGTAAGTAACCATTTCTAGAAAAATTCATTTATATCTTGCCTGATTCAAGTCAGCGTTGTTGAACGACATGGAAACAGTTATCCTAACGAAAAATAAACAAAACCGGTTGTGTTGTATACAACCACGTTGATTTCGTCGCATAATGCGGATAAATGGTAAAACCACTTCAAGAATGACTATTTTCTCTTCCGGCAACCCGCAACCTTGGTAGTTGTGAATATTAAGAAAAGGCGATCACCCTTGGTTTGGCATACGCCATTTACTCAAGCCTCAGAGCTTCTCATATGGGAGCCATAACACGGCAAGCGTCGATCAGGAATCCAATGCGCAACATGAAGGAAAAAAATGTAAAGGCAGCTTTGCTTTCAGAGAAGAACTGTTTCATCTACAATAACTAGTGCCTTATAGCAAAACTGTTGTAAGGCTGTGAATATAACAGATATCAGAAATCAAAAACGTTTTAATTATGTACATGGCTCAAATTGTTGATTCCAACAGCACCTCACGCACATATAAATCTGAAAAAACTGAAACATACAGAAATCACGCAGATTAGTGGTGCAAACTGAAACGGGAAACTATAAATCAATTTAATTCTATATAATAATTCGTTTATTCAAATTTTCACTATGATGTCAAGATAGAATCCTTTGTCAGATGGTTTCAGGCCGTTTCTGTTTGCTTATGATTACATAACTCATATCGTCATGTTGGTAGGCTATTTGGGTACTGAGAAATTAGTAATTTTGCATGCAACAGCCGGTAGATGAAGTAGTGAGCATTCTGGCTGATTAATTATCGAAAAACAATAAGCTTAAAACCTCAAAGGACCACACTTTATGAATGGATGCCATTAGAGAAAACATTTAGAAGTAGGAGCCACTATTCAGTCTTTCGTTTCTAGTGATAACACAGACTTGGCCTATCAAAGTAGAAAATCCCGGTTGATTAGTCAGTACGTACGTTTCGCAATGTGAGCAGCGTTCTAATTTTAATTTTCAGACTGATGCACCGCCTATCAGAGAAACACACAATAAGTCATGAAAATATTTAAATTTTAAGAAACTCGTGTCGGCCAGAGAATTTGCCGAAGAGAAGACTGTTCCGGTTAACGACGGTCGAAGGCGACAGCACTTACTTCCTTAGGAGACAAAATGGAGACAAAGTCTTCGTAAATGATTCTAGCTTTATCTTCAATTTTGTCAATGTCCTTTTCTCTTTTCAACTCTTCGCACGCCTGCCAGAACAATATGTTTTCGTCGCTGAATTCGCTCTTCAGGAAATCGGCGAACATCTTTTGTCCAACTAGAAAGGAGTCACAGTTTGTTTTGTAAAAGTAATCAAACTTCACCATACATTTGTGACCCATCAGACGATCAAACGACGTTCCCCACAGTTTCACTTCTTCGTAGGACAGTCTGAAATGCAGAATCGACGTATAAGTTATAAGTTTAACATTCGACGACGAGTGACGCTGCCGTTGCCCACGTCAACAGAGAGGACTGGAAGCACTCCTCGGTTCGGTCGAACTTGTCGATGTAATCTTTCGCTGATCAGCAGCGAACGTAAGCTACCCTGCGCCTGGCATTCGACCATTGTGAGAAAGCTTTCGACTACATCTGAGTTATGCTAAATGCCCTGAGGTGCCAGAAAACGTACAGAAACCTCTTCATCATGATTTACAAGAATGCAAGTGCTAGTGTGAAGCTTCACAAAAAACAAGCAAGTTCAAAATCGTAATTGGTCGTCCAACGGAGTGACGCAATATCACCAATGTTCTCTCTTCATAGCAGTCCCAGAAGAGGTCTTCAAGGCATCCATCAAAAATTCAGGGTGAAAAATGGAGATCACTTAAACCATCTGCGGCACTCTGATTCCTACATGGTCCTCAGTAGAACTACCGAAAAGAATTAAAGATCAGGAAAAAACTAAAAACATTGCATGGTTGAAAATAAATCTAAACAAGACCAAGATCATGTTCGAAAAGTACATGACCTCACGACTTATCTAAGTTAATTGACTTTGCTTTGAAAAAGTACAAAACTACGTGGATCTCGGGCAGCTTCTCCCTAAAACGAAAGCTTTGTCAGAGGAGTGCAATGTACAACGACATGATACACTTTTGGGGGACTGAAAACGTTCTTATCCAGCAAACTGTCCTTGTGCTCGAAACGGAAAGTTTTCGATCAGTGTGTTTCCGGTCTAACCTATTGATGCGAAACGTTGA